GACCTCTGGGGCTGGCCTTTGTCCTTGAGCCACAGTGCCACTTCTGGTTTTTTCTAACTAGTTTATTAGAGATAAGAGTCTCATGGACTTTCCTTCCTCAATTGGCTTTGAACTGGGATCCTTCGATCTTTTTTTTTTTTTTTTTTTTTCGGTCGTGGGGCTTGAACTCTGGGCCTGGGCGCTGTCCCTCAGCTCTTCAGCTCAAGGCGAGCGCTCTACCACTTGAGCTACAGCGCCACTTCCCGATCCTTAGATCTTAGCCTTGAGTAGCTAGGATTACAGATGTGAACTTACTGGTGCCCAGTGGAGGCTGCCTCTTAAGTAAAGCATTGGGCTTTCAGATCTACACTGAAATTAAAGACACAGAGGAGAACAAATGGTAACCGTAGAGATGAATGAGATTTGCCCCCTTATGTTTTTTTTAAATTTGAAGTCAATAAATTTTTATTTAATCATTTTCACATGTTATGATTCCTTCACTGACCATTAAAGTGAAGTTCACAATTTTTCTTGAGCCAGGCCCCAGTGGCTCACACCTGTAATCCTAGCTACCCAGCAGGCTGAGATCTGAGGATTGCGGTTCAAAGCCAGCCCGAGCAGCAAAGTCCATGACCGACAAAAGAGAGAAAAAAAAATTCTCTTGAAATCTTCAGCCCTTTTTGAAGGAAACAATTCAAGCCATACCACTGCCCAGGAGGCTGAGATCTAGTTGCTATGTTCAAATGACCACATGAAACTCATGTGGAAAAACACCAGGTCTAGAGTTCAGTCTCCAGTACAGGTACACCCAAAAACAACTGATCAGCCCTGCCACAAATCTTTTATTAGGGCTTCTTTTAGCACTATGGTAAAATTACTGAAGCCGTGGTACCAGTGGCTTACGCCTGTAATCCTAGCTACTCAGGAGGCTGAGATCTCAGGATCACGGTTTAAAGCCAGCCTGGGGTAGGAAAGTCCGAGAGATCTTATCTCCAATTAACCACCAGAAAACTGGAAGTGGCTCCATGGCTGAAGTGGTGGAGCGCTGGCCTTGAGCTGAAGAGCTGAGGGACAATGCCCAGGCCCAGAGTTCAAGCCCCATGACTGACAAAAAAAGAAGAAAAAAAAGAAAAAAGAAAAAGAATTACTGCTGACACATCTAAAATCTTTGACATGTCATTCTACAAGCAAATTTGGGATCATTTTAGTTATGTGCAACAGCTTGATTCAACTGCTGACCGCCTGCCCAGTTCTTTTATGTGTAAGTTGGCAGCATAGTGATTTCTCCTATATCACAGGAGTTGTGTAGACCTCGGAGACATGCTAATACTGTAAATATAACCTATCTCACAGTAAGAAATTTATCTTGAACTCCAGACCTCATGTTCTCAAAATAGAAGCCTTAAAAAAAAGCCATCTTCATGTAATCACATAAAACGGAAATGTTTACTAATTCTGAGAAGCATAAATTTGCTTTTATATCAACTTAATTCTCAGAACCTGTGTGAGTTAACAGACCCATTGCCAACTGTTGTAGGAATCATATATGTACCAAATCTCATATCAGTAATGAGTTCTGGGTTGCAAAGAGGATTTACTGTTTGCACCTGTCTGTAAGGTATCCCCATATGTTTTGTGTGTGTGTGTGTGTGTGTGTGTGAGAGAGAGAGAGAGAGAGAGAGAGAGAGAGAGAGAGAGAGAGAAACAAGAATTAAAGAATTCAGTTGAAGGTATTGGAGTCTTATCCTCTACCTGTTGTTTTATACCCCTCTCAAAAAGTTATTCTTTTTCCTATATGTGGTAATGACCAATAGATTTATTTATTCATTCACTCATTTATTTGTTTACTTATTTATTTTTAGGTGGATCATGGGGCTTGAACTCTGGGCCTGAGCGCTGTCCCTCAGCTCTTCAGCTCAAGGCTAGCGCTCTCCCACTTGAGCCCACAGTGCCACTTCTGGTTTTCTGGAGGCTTATTGGAGATAAGAGTCTCACGGACTTTTCCTGCTTGGGCTGGCTTTGAACCGTGATCCTCAGCCTCCTGAGTAGCTAGGATTACAGGTGTGAGGCACCGGCACCCAGCTACCAATAGATTTTTTTGGGGGGGGGGTCCGGTCGTGGGGCCTGAACTCTGGGCCTGGGCTCTGTCCCTCAGCTCTTCAGCTCAAGGCTAGCGCTCTACCACTTGAGCCACACCTCCACTTCCAGCTTTTTTCTTTTTGCTTATATGGTGCTGAGGAATCGAACCCAGGGCCTCAGGCATGCAAGGCAAGCACTCTACCACTGAGCCACCTTCCCAGCCCTAGATTTTTTTTTTTTAAATTCCATTTATACTAACAAGGCCAGACCTTTTGCCTGCCTGACTTCCTCCCTCCCTTCCTTCCTCTTTTGGGCCTTGAGTACTATGGGTTGAACCTAAGACTTTGGAGTATCTAGGCAAGAACTCTGCTACTTGAGCTACACCCTCACCCTTTTAAAAAAATTGACTTTGAGAATAGGGTCTCGCTAACTTGCACTAAGCTTGCCTTGAATTCAGGATCATTCTATGTCTACCTTAAGTGGCTGGGACTGCAGGCATGCACCACCATACCTGGCTAGCATAATTTCCTTTAAGAAAGTTTTTTTTTTTTGTTGTTGGTCGTGGGGCTTGAACTCTGGGCCTGGGCGCTGTCCCTCAGCTCTTCAGCTCAAGGTGAGCGCTCTACCACTTGAGCTACAGCGCCACTTTCCTTTAAGAAAGTAAGAAAATGAATTAATATCACAAATGAAAAGAATAAATAGGAGTTACTTGCATGTGCTTGTGTGTATGCTTTACTAAACTGTCATGACTAAAATTTTACTCAGTGGTTAATTATTATTATTAGTAGTAGTAGTAGTCAGTTGTGGGGCTTGGACACTGGGCCTGGGCTCTGTCTTTTGCTTAAGGCTAGTGCTTTATCACTTTGAGACACTCTGCCACTTGTGGTTTTCTGGTTGTTCATTGTAGATGAATCTTAAAGACTTTGCTGTGGAGGCTAGCTTTGAATCACAACCCTCAGATTACAGGCATGAGCCACCAGCTTCAGTGATAAATTATAATTTAAAGAAGAATGTAGGTCTAGCATATAATGGTATGAAAATTTGGTTTATTATAGAGTAGGTATAACTAGTAAATGAAAAAAAACCGAGAGTATGCTGAGTAACTTTCTATTTGGAAAGAAAATTAAATTCTTTTTGTATACCTCAGATTGATAATATATTTTATGTCTTACAAGACTATCCCTCACATTTTGTTCATTTCATAAAAACATTGAGCTCAGATTAGGAACTTGTGTATCATGTTCTATCAGAACTTGTATGAGGGGATAGATATAAAATAAGCCAGTCCTAACTGCTTAAAAGGGAACAAATGCAAGGAAAGACCTAATGGAAGAGAAAAGACTAATAAGTAGTATATAAAAAGTAAACAAATACCTTTTCAAAGACTAATAAAATTGTTTAAAAATACAAAAAATGGAAAACTTTGGATATTCAATTTGTGTGACTTAGTTTTGTGGTATAATTGTAGTTTATAGGTATCCTGATTACATTCTAAATTATAATAAAATACTTGTTCGGCAACTTTTTTTTGTTTGTTTGTCAGTCGTTGGGCTTGAACCCTGGGCCTGGGCGCTGTCCCTCAGCTCTTCAGTTCAAGGCTAGCGCTGTACCACTTGAGCCATAGCGCCACTTCCAGTTTTCTAGTGGTTTATTGGAGTAAGAATCTCATGGACTTTCTTTCACCAGGCTGGCTTTGAACCTCGATCCTCAGATCTCTGCCTCCTGAGTAGCTAGGATTATAGGCATGAGCCATCGGTGCCTGGCTTTATAACATTTTATCTCCATTTTTTTCTCTCTCAGGAAGATGGGGTGGGCTTATGCAAAGAATATTTTGACTCCTTTTTATTGTTATTATGAAGGTGATATATAGAGGTGTTAGAGTTACATGAGTCAGATAATGAGTACATTTCTTCTTGGGCAATGTCACCAGTCCCTCACTCTCTCCCAGTTTTTCCCTTCTGTCCCCATCCCACAAATTAATTGTATAGTTCATTTTCAACCTAGTGTCTAATGAGTACCTTATATTTTTGACTCTTCACAGAAGAATTTTTGCATTAGGCCCAAGGGTATAAGAATAGAGTAAGGAATTTTGGAAGGACATTTCATCAAGAAATGAACTATTTTAATGAATGAAAAGATTAGATAACCTAACTTTTAGAATTCTGTTTTCTTTCATGTGGCATGAATAAAAGCTTGATTTAATTTTATTGTTACAAAGCACACTTTGGGGCAGGGTTATAAGGGCTAAATAATGTTTTTATTTTTGCCTGATAAGCGCTTAGAAAGATTTGGGAGATAAAAATCTATCTAGGAAGTGGTGCTATGGCTCAAAGTAGTAGAGTGCTAGCTAGGCTTGCTGAGGGACAGCACCCAGGCCCAGAGTTCAAGCCCCACCACCCATCAAAAAAAAAGTCCTATACTTGGTACACCAGACGGTAGACTGCTTAATATAGATACTCTTTACAGAATTTCTTATATAGTGAAATACAAAGAACCTTAAAGGTATATTGTTGCTAGTTAATCATGGCTCTAAAAATAAGTGGAGATAATGAGGATATTTCTGCTCTCAAAGGAACAGTTACGTGCCATGAAAGTGAAGAAATTACTAAGAATTTTAAGTTAGAAACCCCAGAATTTGGGGCTGGGAAGGTGGCTCAGTGGTAGAGCGCTTGCCTTGCATGCTCAAGGCCCTGGGTTCGATTCCTCAGCACCATATAAGAAAAAAGAAAAAAGCCGGAAGTGGCGCTGTGGCTCAAGTGGTAGAGCGCTAGCCTTGAGCTGAAGAGCTGAGGGACAGCGCCCAGGCCCAGAGTTCAGGCCCTACGACCGGACCCCAAAAAAACAAACAAAAACCCCCCCAGAATTTAGGTATCTCCAACAAGAGAGATCAGTATTTGAGTATGCTGTGACTAATATGTCCATTGTATTAATTCTGCTGCATAATGGGTTTCATGCTTGTTTACTGCTATATGTTAATAGAGCCTATGGTAAGCGGTAAATAGCTAAAAACATCAAACACAGGTGCCTGGGTGTAAAGGACTTGGCTGACACTTAGTAGATATTTAACCTTTGTCAAATTGAATTTCTCAATGCTTGCCATCTTTTACATTGCCATCTTTTACATGTAAAATGGTGAAGAGCATCATTTCCACTAGTGTTGTGAGGATTAAGTGACATAGCATAGACAATGTGCTTTGCCCAGTACTTGGCATGTCATAAACTACTAAGTAAGTGTTATTGTATACTTCTTGGGGAAATTTATGTTTCAGTATAATTCTTAAAAGGGATGTTGAAATATATCTTTGTTATTTTAAGGAAATTCGAAATGAGTCTCATGACTATCCTCATAGAGTGGCCAAGTTTCCAGAAAACAGAGATCGAAACAGATACCGAGATGTAAGCCCATGTAAGTACTGTGACTTTTTGTTCATGTTTCTAGTTTGTTTAAGAAACAGGACAAAGTTAAGAGGATGATTTGGGGTCAGGGTTAATAAGTGCTGTAAGTTTTTTTCAATTGACATAACATTCTCAAAAGCTTTTAAAGCATAATATAGTAGAAGGCCAAGAAATAAACTATACTTATTCTTCCTTCAAATATAGCTGCCCTTATTTTGACCTTCTCCTTTCTTTTCCCTTCCTTCCCTTTCTCTTTCCTTTTTTGTGCTAGGATTTGAACTGAAAGTTGTATGATTTTGTTTTTTCTTGCTGGGCAAGCACTCTGTCCCTAAGCCATGCCTCTAGGATTTTTTTGCACTAGTTAATAAGGTCCACTTCCCAGTTAGGATAAACCTTACTGTACAGAATCCTTTGAACAGAAGCATTCCTTCTCCCTTTACCCTTTAGTTTTCCTTTTAAAAAATATGTCCTTGGGCTGGGAATGTGGCTTAGTGGTAGAGTAATTGCCTAGCATGCATGAAGCCCTGGGTTTGATTCCTCAATACCATATAAACAGTAAAAAACAGAAGTGATGCTGTGGCTCAAATGGTAGAGTACTAGCCTTGAGCAAAAGCAGCTCAGGGACAGGCCCAGGCCCTCAGTTTAAGCCCCAGGACTGGCAAAAAAAAAAAGCAACAAAAATGTCCTTATATTTGCCTATATCTTTCCTACTTGAGAATGACCTCTTGTATGAGGTTCTTCTATTTCCCCCTCTTTTATTTATTTAAAATAACTTTTACAAAAGTTTTGAATTTATAAAAAGCTTTTTCCTATAAAATAAGGTATTCTTAGTAGCCTGTGTTTCAGTGAATACCAAGGCGGCGAATCCCAAATTATCTTCATACATAATAATTTATAGCATATTTGTTTTTAAATGAAAACATCTCTGTCCAGCAATGAAATTGGTGTCTTGAAACACCTGGAATGGACTTCTCTTTTCTCCTCATCTCTGCTTTTCTGTTGTCCATTCTCTCTTTCTCTTTCTCTTCCTCCCTCTACTTCCCCCCATTGGTATGAGGCTTGAACTTAGGGCCTTGGTGTTGTCCCTTGCCTTTTTCACTCAAAGATAGCTTTTTACTGTTTGAGCTTTTTAGGTGGTTAATTGGAGATAAAAGTCTCATGGACTTTCCTGCCCAGACTGGCTTTGATCTGAAGAGCTTCAGATCTCAGCCTCCTGAGTAGCTAGCTAGGATTTTAGGAGTGAACCACTGACTGACACTTGGTTTGTGTCTACTCTTAAATAGTCATCATTCTAGGAGAGGAAACAGAAAGCTTCCATTTTGGATAACACAGATTTAGAAAAAGAAAAGCACCAAAGCTAAACACATTACATACATATACCTTGAGAGAGATTTAGCTCCTGGCTCAGGTTTGTCCCTTTCTGACACAAGATGGTGGGTAAGGGCTCTCTCAGCTTCACATTTTCAACAAAAACTCATAAGTCCTTAGGATCTGTTCAGGAAGAGCATTATATGGTGTTTCACAAAGAAGACTCTCACAAAGTGAAAGTTTGAGTGTGTTTTTTTAGTATAACAAAGTATGGAGAAAGGGAAAACTGTATGGGAAATGGGAATTAAAGATTCCTGCTAGTTTTTTCTTTAATTTTGTACTGGGGCTTGAACTCAGTGCCTGGGCATTGTCCCTGACAATCAAGGAGATAATCAGGACAATTTTTTGCTCAAGGGTATTGTTCTACTTGAGTTACAGCTCTACTTTCAGCCTTTTGGTAGTTAACTGGACTTCAGAGTTTCACATACTTTCCTTCGTAGGTTGTCTTCAAATTGTGACCCTCAGATCTCAGCCTACTGAATAGCTAGGATTACAAGCATGACCCACTCACTAGTGCCTGGCTCCTAATGGTTATTTTGGAGATAGGGTCTTGCTTTCTGCTCTACACTCCTACAATGTGATCTATAGATCTCTTTTAGGCTTTCCTTTATAGCTGTTATGGTAGGCATGTGCCATCATGCCTTCCAACTTCTATTAAATTTGAGTCTCAGATTTTTTTTTTTTTGGTTGGTCATGGGGCTTGAACTCTGGGCTTGGGCGCTGTCCCTGTGCTCTTCAGCTCAAGGCAAGCACTCTACCGCTTGAGCCACAGCACCACTTCTGGTTTTCTAGTGGTTTATTGGATATAAGAATCTCACGGACTTTCCTGCCTGGGCTGACTTTGAAACGTGATCCTCAGATCTCAGCCTCCTGAGTAGCTAGAATTACAGGCATGAGCCACCAGTGCCCAGCTAGTCTGATTTTTTTGTCCAAGCTTTCCTAGAACAGTGATTGTCTCAAACATCAGCCTCTGATATAGTTCAGATGACAAGCATGAGCCACTGTAATGCTCAGCTATGGTTGAGAAGTCTTTTGGTCTGGCCTTGAGCCTTGATCCTCCCAGTCTTAGTCTCCCAAGTAGCTAGGATTATGGGCATGTAACCACAATCTTTAATTTTAAAGTAATTGCAATCATTTTGTTGTGTATTTCATTTTCATGTTCTATAACCTTTTCAAGTACTGGTGAAAAAATTGGTGGTTTATTTCCCCTTCCTGCTCAGTTACAAAAGTAGTGTATACCCAATGCTGAAAATTTGTAAAACAGAAAAGTGTGAAGAAAAAGAGCACTTAAAAATACTTTTTGGGGGGCTGGGAAGGTGGCTCAATGGTAGAGTGCTAGCCTCACATGCATGAGGCCCTGAGTTTGATTCCTCAGCACCACATAAGCAGAAAAAGCGTAAGTGGCTTAAGCTTAAGTGGCTCAAGTGGTAGAACTCTAGCTTTGAACTGAAGAGCTCAGGGACAGCCCCCAGACCCAGAGTTCAGGCCCCACAACCAATAAAAAAACAACAAACAACCCCAAACAAAAAAAAAAACACTTTTTGGTTTAGGTGAGGGTGGTACATGCCTGTAATCCTAGCCACTCAGGAGGCTAAGATCTGAGGATCACCGTTTAAAGCCAGCTGGGGCAGGAAAATCTGTGAGACTCTTATCTCCAATTAACCACCAGAAAACCAGAAGTAGTACTGCTGCTCAAGTGGTAGAGCACTAACCTTGAGCTGAAGAGCTCAGGGACAGCACCCAGGCCCAGAGTTCAAGACCCACACCCGACAAAAACAAAAAACCCCAAAACACTTTTTAGTTTATTGTCTTTTTTTCTGATTAAAAATTCTTTTAAATTAAAAATTAGAATCTTGCACATACTAATTTATAGTTCTTTTCCTGTAAAAGTGGTCACATTCTGATTTGTTTCTCGTTCTTTCCCATACTTGACTAGGGTGGGCTGCTGATATGCTAAGTTTTCTTGTATCAAGTAAATAACTATTTAAGGTCACAGACTTTATGGACCTTGAAAGCTTGTTTGGAGGTTCTAGCAGAGGAGGGCAGCTACTCATATACTCTTTTTTTTTTTTTTTTTGGGGGTCCGGTCGTGGAGCCTGAACTCTGGGCCTGGGCGCTGTCCCTCAGCTCTTCAGCTCAAGGCTAGCGCTTTACCATTTGAGCCATAGCGCCACTTCCGGCTTTTTTCTTTTTGCTTATATGGTACTAAGGAATCGAACCCAGGGCCTTGAGCATGTAAGGCAAGCGCTCTACCACTGAGCCACCTTCCCAGCCCCTTTTCTCATATACTCTTGACCAAAGACCGGTCCTCTATCAGGGATGGTTGTTCTCTTTTACCGAGCATGCAGCTTCGGGAGGGACATACATGGAGCGGTGAGGGAGGGAGGGGATACCCGCCTAGCCAGCCAGATCAGCCAAATCAACCCTGGTGATCAATGGGGTGACATATGTCGCAGCCAGATTGCCCTCATATCCAGGCCACAGACTTTATAACAGTATACTGCCTGATTATATGTGGGGTATTTAGGGTCTGGATATAAAACAGAAATCTATTACTTTCTGTGGAAAAAAAGAAAATTCATAATTTTATTCTTACATGAACAAAATGTTTTTATGTTGGCCAAGTTATGTTTCTATGAAGAGTAATTGGCTGAATTTGAGCAAATCAAATGAGAAGCTATTTGTTGGTATAGATTTTATTATAAATCTGTTTATTGTAAATGCTATGTTTCACTTAGACTTTTTTAATTTTTATTTATTTTTTATTGTGAAAATACTGTACAGAGGGGTTACAATTACATGGGCATGATAATGAGTACATTTCTTATCAAGCATTGTAGCCTCCTCCTTTGTTTCCCCTTCCCATCCCCCCCACCCCCTTTTTCTTTACGGTAGTAGTTAGAAGTGTTTGTAGAGATGACTAGAAGAAAGGTTTTCTTTGCTTTGCTTTTTGTGTGTGTGTGTGTGTTGGTGGTAGGGCTTGAACTCTGGGCCTGGGCACTGTCCCTCAGCTGTTCAGTTCAAGGCTAGTGTTGTACTACTTGAGCCACAGTATCACTTTTGGTTTTTGGGTGGTTTATTGGAGATAAGAGTCTCACAGACTTTCCTGCCTGGGCTGGCTTTGAATTGCGATCCTTAGATCTCAGCCTCCTGAGTAGCTAGGATTACAGGCCGAGCCACTGGCACCTGATGAAAAAAGGTTTTATATATTTTTTTTTAAAAATCTAAATACACTCAAGGATAGTATAGACTTTTTTTTTGAAGCTTTTGATATAGAGATATGAGTAGAAATTCTGACTCTTAGTTGTTACCTAACTACGTCAAAATCTGTTAATCACTGAGCTGAAGAGTTTTTATTTTTTATAGTACTGATGTTTGAAAAGTGTGTGTGTGTGTGTGTGTGTGTGTGTGTGTGTGTCTGTGTGTCTGTGTGTCTGTGTCTGTGTGTCTCTGAATCCAGGCTGGACTTGAACTCGGGATCCTCTTGGTTCAGCCTCTTATGGGCTGGGATTACAGGTGTGTACCACCACAACCAACCTTTAATTATGTTTGTTTGTTTTTGTTGTTGTTCATGGAGCTTGAACTCTAGGCCTGGGTGCTGTCCCTCAGCTCTTCAGCTCAAGGCTAGTGCTTTACTGCTTG